ACCAGGTCTAAACCAGGTCTGAACCAGGACTAAACCAGGACTAAACCAGGTCTAAACCAGGACTAAACCAGGACTAAACCAGGACTAAACCAGGTCTAAACCAGGACTAAACCAGGTCTAAACCAGACTAAACCAGGACTAAACCAGGACTAAACCAGGTCTGAACCAGGACTAAACCAGGACTAAACCAGGTCTAACCAGGACTAAACCAGGACTAAACCAAGACTAAACCAGGTCTGAACCAGGACTAAACCAGGACTAAACCAGGTCTAAACCAGGACTAAACCAGGTCTAAACCAGGACTAAACCAGGACTAAACCAGGACTAAACCAGGTCTAAACCAGGACTAAACCAGGACTAAACCAGGACTAAACCAGGTCTAAACCAGGTCTAAACCAGGACTAAACCAGGACTAAACCAGGACTAAACCAGGTCTAAACCAGGTCTAAACCAGGACTAAACCAGGACTAATCTTGGACTTAAAAGAGAGAGAGAACCCTGAACCTGTGGAGCAGGTGTCCACAAAGTGCGATGGTGCGACAGCAGCATTTACTCTGAGCTCTGCAATGGTCCTTTCACCTGCGGTCACCCAACGGTCTACACGGGCGCAGCTCCGAGCCCGTACCAACAGTGAGTCCTGGTTTAGTCCTGGTTCAGTCCTGGTTTAGTCCTAGTTTAGTCCTGGTTTAGTCCTGGTTCAGTCCTGGTTCAGTTCGTGGTGTGTTTCTTCTGCCTGTGGAGCGATGTGAGTCGAGGTGCGTCTGTTCGTTCGTGTTTGTGCTGAACAAAGTGAAACCGTTTCGTTTCATTTGGTGATTGTGATCCTTGAAGTCGTAACAATTCAGTTCCTTTTCTGATGAAAGTTTCAGTCAGAATGTTTTTGTCTGTGTGTGATTTATCTCGGACACGGGCAGGTCACGGGTGCAGGTTTAACTTTGATATAATCACAGGTGAACGGGCGGGTGCGGCGCTGGACTGAGCGGGTACGGGTGGGTACAGGCGGGTCTTCTTTTTTGACGTCCTGTCTCCCTTTACTTGTTAAAATTCCCTTTTCTGTACGTTTGTTTGTCCTCAACTCTCCGTGAATCCTCAGTAAAGAGTTCTGAACTGCACTTGGATCACTCTCCGGGGATTTATTTCACTTTTGAGGTGTTTTAAAGGTGGAACAAGTTGCACAAAGAGTCAGTCTACAGCTCCACAAAAGTTTGGACCTTTCACTCTACAGGCCGATGTTATAGTCGAGTTTCAGCTGACGTCATTGTTATTAAAAACCCGCGTTGCTGCTGGGAAATATTTTGATCGGAGGCAGAAACACGGTAGCGTCAAACACAGTGTGTAACCTCATGTATTTCTCCATGATAATGGTAAATTCCTGCTGCATTATCAGATGCACAAATAGAAACAGGGAAGAAGGAAAATGTCTTTTTCATATTCTGAGTGAAAAGAACCACTAACGGTGAATTAAACGACTTTCAAACATCCGCAGAGCAAACGTAGAAGATCCTAACAAACCGTGGACTCAACAAGTTCAACAACACATCCAGACTCTTGGAGGTTTTCATCTTTTCTGCTGTGAATGGCCCAGGAGTTTCACCAAGTCATTGTGGATGTCGCCCAAGTGAATATTTGTCCAGGGAGTTGGAGATTCTGACCAGAAGTTTGGTTTGGTCCAGACTCTGTCGGGGTTGAAAAGGGAGATTTGTCGTCCGTCGATGTTTATGACCAATTTCTGGTCAGATGGTCTTGGGTCGTCTGCCGTTAGAGTGGATCAATAACCGGGATCAATACCCTTTACGTGTTTTCTCGCTCCGTCCGTCATGTTCAATTAGTGTTTCTTGCCGCCGACTAAAATAATTCCCAGCAGCAACACACGCTTTTGTCAACAATGAAACTCAACTATTAATACAAACGGGAGGAAGCTGAAGATCGTGTCGCTGGAGTCAGGACTTTTCTTGTCAGACTGTGGCTCTTGGGTCTCGTCACTCGCAGAAATGATCAGGTTCAACTTTTATGAAATAATTTTTTGGAGAGTCCGTGGTAAAGTCCAGTGTGATCAATTGGAAAAACCGTCTCCCGCCCCCGACTGGGAAACCACCAAAACAGAAACGACTCAGAATCAGAATCAGCATCAGCGTTTAAGTGACTCTCCAGAATCTGCACCGACTCGAGCTGCCAGACGAACCTCGACGAGCTCCAGAGACTCAGGGACCAGAACAGATCCAAGAGTTTCTTCTCACAGGCCACGTTTACATGAGGCTTTTCATTCTGAATTTATTTTACATGTAAATACTCATGTTTTCTTGTTGTTTGGTGTTAAACTGGTGAAATGTTTTTTATTTCATGTGTGTGAGCGTCTGGGGGGAGGTTCTGATTGGACAGAAACAACAACAGATTTACGTCTTTGTGAAGAAAACACAAACTTCAGCTGCTCCTGACTTTTCTGTCGTCTGGGTTTGTGGTTCCTCCACCGACACAAAAACCAGGTCTGAACCAGAACTAAACCAGGACTAAATCAGTACTGAAACTGTACAAGGTCTGAAACTGTGGTCTTTTCTGTCGTCTCGGTTTGAGGAGGAGAAGGAGGAAGAAAACAAAAGCTCAGCCCACTCCTGCATCCCACTCACAAATCCAAAGAGACATGGATCAAAGTCCTGAGACAGAACTGGACCAGGACCAGGACCAGGACCAGGACCAGGACCAGGACCAGGACCAGGACCAGGAGGACGACGCGACGAGCGTGAAGCACCAGCAGCATTTTAACAACAACAAACCACAAACAGGATCCAGGAAACAAACTCCCTCACATTTAAAATCAGAACAAAACAAACTCTTACTTCACTGTGAAGATTCAATCACAATCAACATTTTCATTTAAGTTTTTACGTGAACTTTTTAAAATGGAATTCAGTTTTATTCAGAATTAAATCTCTCATGTAAACGTGGAAACTAACCCTCTGAAGTTTATCTGGAATTTTCAAAACGCCATTTTGTGATCGACCCTGTTTTCAGCTCCACTGGTCCACGACCACTGTGAAGTACGACGCGCTCGCCCGCCGCGACGCTCACTACCGCCGCGACGCGCTCGCCCGCCACGACGCACACTACCGCCGCGACGCGCGCTCGCGCCCGCCACGACGCACACTACCGCCGCGACGCTCGCCCGCCGCGACGCGCTCGCCCACCGCGACGCGCTCGCCCGCCACGACGCACACTACCGCCGCGACGCTCGCCCGCCGCGACGCGCTCGCCCACCGCGACGCGCTCGCCCGCCACGACGCACACTACCGCCGCGACGCTCGCCCGCCGCGACGCGCTCGCCCACCGCGACGCGCTCGCCCGCCGCGACGCACACTACCGCCGCGACGCTCGCCGCCGCGACGCGCGCGACGCGCTCGACGCGCTCGCCGCCGCGCGATGCTCCCGCTGCGACACATGTCTGCGCGCCGTGTGACTCACAGGTGCCCGCTGGGCCGGTGCCCACGGCGTTGATGGCGGCCGGCACAGAGGAGGAGGGAAACAGATGCCCGTTCTCAGAGCTCCATTGCGCCCCCTGCTGCTGCCAGCCGTTGAGCCGGTCCTCCGAGCCGTAGCGGGGGTACGGCTGGTTCTTCTGCCCCCCTGCGGTGCCCTGGCTCGGGGGGTACGGTTGGTTCTTCTGCCCCCCTCCGGACCCTGGGGACGAGACAATAAATAATAATTGAGTTTATTTTGATAAAACTGTAGATCAGAGAAACGCCGACTTCAGCACAAACTGAGTAAATATAAAAAANCGCGCTCGCCCGCCACGACGCACACACGCCGCGACGCTCGCCCGCCGCGACGCGCTCGCCGCGACGTCGCCCACGACGCACACTACCGCCGCGACGCTCGCCCGCCGCGACGCGCTCGCCCACCGCGACGCGCTCGCCCGCCACGACGCACACTTACCGCCGCGACCGCCGCGACGCGCTCGCCACCGCGACGCGCTCGCCCGCCACGACGCACACTACGCCGCCCCCGCCGCCGACGACCGCCCGCGACGGCTCGCCCACGCGCGACGCGCTCGCCCGCCACGACGCACACTACCGCCGCGACGCTCGCCCGCCGCGACGCGCTCGCGCCGCCGCGCGACGCTCGCCCGCCGCGCGACGCCTCGCCGCGCGCGATGCTCCCGCTGCGACACATGTCTGCGCGCCGTGTGACTCACAGGTGCCCGCTGGGCCGGTGCCCACGGCGTTGATGGCGGCCGGCACAGAGGAGGAGGGAAACAGATGCCCGTTCTCAGAGCTCCATTGCGCCCCCTGCTGCTGCCAGCCGTTGAGCCGGTCCTCCGAGCCGTAGCGGGGGTACGGCTGGTTCTTCTGCCCCCCTGCGGTGCCCTGGCTCGGGGGGTACGGTTGGTTCTTCTGCCCCCCTCCGGACCCTGGGGACGAGACAATAAATAATAATTGAGTTTATTTTGATAAAACTGTAGATCAGAGAAACGCCGACTTCAGCACAAACTGAGTAAATATAAAAAACACAAACTCAGACGACAGAAAGACGCAGATAAAACAGAAACTATTGTCCATTTATCACAAAGTCTGACGTCAAAATGACACATTTACAAAACAACGACACAGAGACACTTCATAAACTTCATAAACCTCATAAACTTCATAAACCTCATAAACCTCATAAACCTCATAAACCTCATAAACCTCATAAACTTCATAAACTTCATAAACCTCATAAACTTCATAAACCTCATAAACTTCATAAACTTCATAAACCTCATAAACCTCATAAACCTCATAAACTTCATAAACATAAACCTTATAACTTCATAAACCTTCATAAACTCATAAACTTCATAAACTTCATAAACTTCATAAACCTCATAAACTTCATAAACTTCATAAACTTCATAAACTTCATAAACTCATAAACATAAACTTCATAAACTTCATAAAACCTCAAACCTCATAACCTTCATAAACCTCATAAACATAAACTTCATAAACTCATAAACCTCATAAACTTCATAAACTTCATAAACTTCATAAACTACTTCATAAACATAAACTCATAAACTTCATAAAACATAAACCTCATAAACTTCATAAACCTCATAAACCTAAACTTCATAAACCTTCATAAACCTTCATAAACTCATAAACATAAACTTCATAAACTTCATAAACTTCATAAACCTCATAAACCTCATAAACTTCATAAACTTCATAAACCTCATAAACTTCATAAACTTCATAAACTTCATAAACTTCATAAACCTCATAAACCTCATAAACTTCATAAACCTCATAAACCTTCATAAACTTCAAACAAAACCTCATAAACCTTCATAAACTTCAAACATAAACTTCATAAACTTCATAAACTCATAAACATAAACCTCATAAACCTCATAAACTCATAAACCTCATAAACCTCATAAACTTCATAAACTTCATATAAACTCATCATCATAACTTCATAAACTTCATAAACTTCATAAACTTCTAAACTCATAAACTTCTCATAAACTTCATAAACTTCATAAACTCATAAACTCATAAACTTCATAAACTTCATAAACCTCATAAACCTCATAAACTTCATAAACCTCATAAACTAACCTCATAAACTTCATAAACTTCATAAACTTCATAAACTTCATAAACCTCATAAACTTCATAAACCTCATAAACCTCATAAACTCATAAACTTCATAAACTTCATAAACTTCATAAACCTCATAAACCTCATAAACTCATAAACTTCATAAACTTCATAAACCTCATAAACCTCATAAACTTCATAAACTTCATAAACCTCATAAACCTCATAAACTTCATAAACTTCATAAACCTCATAAACTTCATAAACCTTCATAAACCTCATAAACCTCATAAACTTCATAAAACCTCATAAAACCTCATAAACCTCATAAACCTTCATAAACTCATAAACTTCATAAACTTCATAAACTTCATAAAACCTTCATAAACCTCATAAACTTCATAAACCTCATAAACTTCATAAACCTCATAAACTTCATAAACCTCATAAACCTCATAAACTTTAAACCTCATAAACTCATCATAAACCTCATAAACATAAACTTCATAAACCTCATAAACTTCATAAACTTCATAAACCTCATAAACTCATAAACTTCATAAACTTCATAAACCTCATAAACCTCATAAACATCATCATAAACCATAAATAACTCATAAACCTCATAACCTCATAAACTCATAAACCTCATAACATAAACTTCATAAACTTCATAAACCTTCATAAACCTCATAAACCTCATAAACTTCATAAACCTCAAAAACTTCATAAACATAAACTCATAAACTTCATAAACTTCATAAACTTCATAAACTTCATAAACCTCATAAAACTTCATAAACTCATAAACTCATAAACTTCATAAAACATCATAAACTTCATAAACCTTCATAAACCTCATAAACCTTCATAAACCTCATAAACCTCATAAACCTCATAAACTCATAAACTTCATAAACTTCATAAACCTCATAAACCTCATAAACCTCATAAACATAAACCTCATAAACCTCATAAACCTAAACATAAACTCATCATAAACTTCTTCATAAACCTCATAAACTTCATAAACTTCATAAACCTCATAAACTTCATAAACTCATAAACTTCATAAACTTCATAAACTTCATAAACCTCATAAACTTCATAAACCTCATAAACCTCATAAACTCATAAACCTCATAAACCTCATAAACTTCATAAACCTCATAAACTTCATAAACTTCATAAACCTCATAAACTTCATAAAAAAACTTCATTAAACTTCATAAACTTCATAAACTTCATAAACTCATAAACATAAACTTCATAAACTTCATAAACCTCATAAACTCATAACTCATAACTTCATAAACCTCATAAACTCATAAACTTCATAAAAAAACTTCTCATAAACTTCATATAAACCTCATAACTTCATAAACCTCATAAACCTCATAAACTTCATAAACTTCATAAACTTCTATAAACTTCATTAAACATAAACTTCATAAACCTTCATAAACTTCATAAACCTCATAAACTTCATAAACTCATAAACCTCATAAACTCATATAAACTTCATAAACTTCATAAACATAAACCATCATAAACCTCATATAAACTTCATAAACTTCATAAACTTCATAAACCTCATAAACTTCATAAACTCATAAACTTCATAAACCTCATAAACTTCTGGGCGAGACTCCTGCTGGACATTTATAACACTTTAAAACAGCAACTTTAGTACAAGAACCAGGACTAGACCAGGACAGACTAACAGACCAGACTAGACCAGGACTAAAGACAGGACTAAACCAGACTAACAGGACTAAACCAGGACTAAACCAGGACTAAACCAGGACTAGACCAGACCAGGACTAGACCAGGACTAGACCAGGACTAAACCAGGACTAAACCAGGACTAAACCAGGACTAGACCAGGACTAAACCAGGACTAAACCAGGACTAACCAGGACTAGACCAGGACTAAACCAGGACTAAACCAGGACTAGACCAGGACTAGACCAGGACTAACCAGGACTAAACCAGGACTAAACCAGGACTAAACCAGGACTAGACCAGGACTAGACCAGGACTAAACCAGGACTAGACCAGGACTAACCAGGACTAGACCAGGACTAGACCAGGACTAAACCAGGACTAAACCAGGACTAGACCAGGACTAGACCAGGACTAAACCAGGACTAAACCAGGACTAAACCAGGACTAAACCAGGACTAGACCAGGACTAAACCAGGACTAGACCAGGACTAGACCAGGTTGTGGTCCAGTCCTGTGGAGCTGAACATCACACTAGAGCTCCGTCCATGTTCTTCTTCTTCTCTGGGGTCGGGTCTCGGGGGCATCAGTCTGAACAGAGACTCCCAGACTTCCTTCACCCCAGACACTTCCTCCAGCTCCTCCAGTGGGACCTGAGGTGTTCCCAGTCCAGTCCAGAGACATGGTCCCTCCAGTGTGTCCTGGGTCTCCTCCTCCTCCAGGTGGGACATGAACACCTCCTGAGGGACACGTCCAGGAGACGTCAGAACAGACGTCCTCCCCTCAGACCTCCTCTCCACGTGGGAGCAGCGGCTCTACTCCGAGCTCCTCCCCTCAGACGCTCCTCTCCACGTGGAGGAGCAGCGGCTCTACTCCGAGCTCCGACCTCTGTGTCTAAGGGAGACGCCCGGACGCCCTGAGGAGGAAACTCATCTGTGTCTCTTGTATCGTGGATCTGGTCCTTCGGGTCATGACCAGAGGTGAGGAGGAACATTAGCTCCTCTTCACCACAACGACCGATACAGCGACTGCATCACTGCCCACGCTGCACCTGTCCACCTGTCAATCTTCCCACGCTGCACCTGTCCACCTGTCAATCTGCCACGCTGCACCTGTCCCCTGTCACTGCCCACGCTGCACCTGTCCACTGTCAATCTGCCACGCTGCACCTGTCCACCTGTCAATCTGCCCACGCTGCACCTGTCCACTGTCAATCTGCCCACTGCACCTGTCACCTCTGCCCACGCTGCACCTGTCACCTGTCACTGCCCACGCTGCACCTGTCCACCTGTCTGCCCACGCTGCCCACCTGCACCTGTCCACCTGTCAATCTTCCCACGCTGCACCTGTCCACCTGTCAGTCTCCCCACGCTGCACCTGTCCACCTGTCAGTCTCACGCTCCATCCTCCCGTCGCTCGAGAACAACACCCTCCTCCACAGGAGACTCTCCACCCTCCGCTTTTTTACATTTGAACCAAAACGACAAAGTCAATCATGAAACTTCTATAACTTCTCTGAAAAGTCCCGTTAGAAGAACTCGTCTGATTTAATCCAGATTATTTTGGCCGTGATAAAACTGACTGTTAGACTCCGGGTCCCGCCGGGTGCCTACCTGAGCCCGGGGCGTGGGGGTCCCTGTCGAGGCCGTCCCTGCCGGCGTGCTCCTCCAGGTGGGTGAGCCAGAGGGCGAGGGCGGAGCGGTCCTCCATGGAGGTGGCCGGGTGGATGAGGGCGTAGGACAGGAGCTGGCGCGACTCCTCCACGTGGCGCCCGGACTCGATGGTCTGCGCCAGGATCCAGGGCAGCAGGCGCATGTACTCGCCCTTCGCCTGGCAGTTCCCCGGTTTGAGCAGCGGCAGGTGCGACAGGACCAATGAGATCGCCCGCTCCTTCGACTCGCCGCGCCATTGGCTGATCACGACTGCGCGTAGAAAACAGAGACAAAAGACAAAGACAAAAGACAAAAGTCAAACACGAGCGCGAGCACATGATCAAATATCAGACTTCAACACTGAGGAATAAACTCGATACTCGATACTCGATACTGGGGCTGGGATCATTCAGAAGTTGCTGATACGATACATGTTTCGATACAGGGAACTTTTGATTAAATTCGATATATTTCAAATCGATTTGATACGGTTCAATAAAATAAAGTGTAAATCGTGTGTGTGACACTAAAAGTTTTTGTTAAACTTCTTCTTGTGCAAAGTTCAAATGAAACACAAATATTTAAATCGTCAAAACAGTGAAAATGTCTCAGAAACCAGTTTCCTTCCTCTGAACAAACAACAAAATCATTTGGTAAAATAAACCAAAACATCCTCCTGGTGATATATCGACACAGCAGCCCACGATATCGATACTGAATCACACATTATATATTTTGATATTTTTGTACATCCTCGCTCCTGATTGGTTCTTTGGCTGCTGTGATAAGTGTCATTACAAATATAGAACTGAGCTGTAACTGCTGACCTCCATGAGCTTCATTGGGAGCAGACTCAGACTTTCAAAATAAAAAAACTGTGACGTCCTGGTTTGTGGAGGTTGTAATAATAAAATTGTGAATTGAGTGAAATGAAGTAAAACTGTTCTTCACTCGGCTCAAACATGATGAACATGAGTCTGTGTCGTCACATTTTATTTGTGTTTTGTCGTTTTGAAGCAGATTTTCTGTATTTGACCCAAACAAATATCAGTTTGTGTCTCTTTACTGTTCCAGGATCAGTTTGGTCCAAAACAGAGACTCTGGGACATTTGTGTATAAAGTGGGACACATCAGTGGTTTTGTGTGAATCTGTGGGACATAAACTGTCTGTCCCAGAGACACGGGGACGAGTGGACAGGCTGGACTCCTGAGACGCTTCCTTCTCGTTTAGATTCGATTGTTTGAAGAAAACTCGTCCAGTAAAATTATTTTCTGTGTGGACACAACATTTCAACACTTGAAATCATTTTCTGACACATTTAAGAGTTTAGATTTAGAACAAACTTTTGTGCCGGACATTTCCTCATAAACTCACATTAAACCTCCATTTAAACTTGATGTTTTATTGAACTGAATCTAAAGTATCGAGGTTTGTATCGTATCGGTATCGTATCGGTATCGTATCGGTGACTCTGTTTGTCAGTGCAGATTTCAGTTTTGTGTCGACTTTTCTGGACAAGTTTCAAATGTGAAACTTTGAACAAAATTCTGTTTTTAAATCTGCACATCCCAGTGTGAGACACAGAGTAAAAAGTGTTAAAATCAACTCTGACTGAGTCAGTTGAACATTTCCTCAGAGTTTCTCTGAGTCACTCTGTTCTAGAGTTAATTTAACACTTGTTTAAATGTTCATGAAGTAAAACTGGACCAAAGTTCCTGTTTAACCCAAATCCAGAGTTAAATGAAGGTTTAGAGAGTAAACAGATAACACTTTGTAGAGTTATCCTGATTTAACTCAACACACAGAGGAGTTTTATTTTGACACTTTGAGTTAATTTAAGATGAAAATCAGAACAAAACTGGTTCAAACTGGTTCTTCTCTGGAGGGAGTTTGAAGTCAAATTAACACTAAGAGAAGTTGAATTAACTTCAACCAAATCAACTCTGACAAATCACCTCAACTCCAACACACGTTTAACTCTCAAAGAGTAAAAATAAAACACTTTTGGTGTTAAAAACAAAACTGAAATATTTCACCCTCAAATTTTAACCCTCCAGTTTTTAGTCTGTGCCCTCCCCGTGTGTGTCAGGGTCCCTCCCCGTGTGTGTCAGGGTCCCTCCCCGTGTGTGTCAGGGTCCCTCCCCGTGTGTGTCAGGGTCCCTCCCCGTGTGTGTCAGGTCCCTCCCCGTGTGTGTCAGGGTCCCTCCCCGTGTGTGTCAGGGTCCCTCCCCGTGTGTGTGTCAGGTCCCTCCCCGTGTGTGTCAGGTCCCTCCCCGTGTGTGTGTCAGGTCCCTCCCGTGTGTCAGGTCCCCGTGTCCTCCCTGTGTCAGGTCCCTCCCGTGTGTGTGTCAGGTCCCTCCCGTGTGTGTCAGGCCTCCCCGTGTGTGTCAGGTCCCTCCCCGTGTGTGTCAGGTCCCGTGTGTGTCAGGTCCCCTCCGTGTGTGTCAGGTCCCCTCCCGTGTGTGTCAGGTCCCTCCCCGTGTGTGTCAGGTCCCTCCCGTGTGTGTCAGGTCCCTCCCCGTGTGTGTCAGGTCCCTCCCGTGTGTGTCAGGTCCCTCCCCGTGTGTGTCAGTCCCTCCCGTGTGTGTCAGGTCCCTCCCGTGTGTGTCAGGTCCTCCCCGTGTGTGTCAGTCCCTCCCGTGTGTTCAGGTCCCTCCCCGTGTGTGTCAGGTCCCTCCCCGTGTGTGTCAGGTCCCTCCCCGTGTGTGTCACTGAAGGGCGTCGGGACGATAACGACTCTCCCACTCACACTCAGGCCCAGGAATGTGCAAACCACAGAAGAAGAATGTAACTCAGACTTAACCCCTCACACACGGAATCCAGGTCAGGACTAAACCAGGACTAAACCAGGACTAAACCAGGACTAAACCAGGACTAAACCAGGTAAACCAGGTCTACTAAACCAGGACTAAACCAGGTAAACCAGGACTAAACCAGGACTAAACACAGTTCTGACCAGGACTACCAACCCAGCGTCAACCCCCAGGGAACTTAAAAACCAGGGGGGGACTAAACCAGGTCCGAACAGGACTAACGAGGCTTACACCAGCGCACAACCAGGACAAACCAGTCTAAACCAGGTCTCAAACCAGGACTAACCACCAGGTCTCTAACACCGGACTAAACAGACTAAAACCAGGGTCTGACCAGGACTCAAACAGTCAACCAGGACTAAACCAGACTAAACAGTCGACAGGACTAAACCAGGTCCTAAACCAGGACTAAACCCAGGACTAAACCAGGCTAAACCCAGGGACTAACCAGGATAAACCAGGTCTACAGGACCAGGACACACAGGACTACCAGGTCTGAACCAGGACTAAACCAGGTTAAACCAGGACTAACAGGTCTAAACAGGACTAAACCAGGGTAAACAGGCTAACCAGGATAAACCAGTCTGACCAGCGACTAAACCAGGTCTAACAAGGACTAAACAGGTCTAAACCAGGACAAACCAGGTAAACCAGGCTAACCAGGACTAAACAGTCTAACCAGGACTAAACAGACTAACCAGGTCTGACCAGCACAAACAGCTGAACAGGACTAAACCAGGACTAAACCAGTCTAACCAGGACTAACCAGGCTAAACCAGGACTACACGCAGGCAAACACAGGTCGAACCAGGACTAAACCAGTCAACAGCGACTAACACCGCGACTAACACCAGGTCCCTGAACAGCCTACAACCAGTAAACCAGGAACTGCAAACCAGGACTAAACCAGCGCCTTCCCTGAACGGAACTAACCCACGGTCTAAACCCAGGACTACCCAGGAACTAACAGGTCACAACCAGGACTAACCGGACTAAACCAACGGACTAAACAGGTCTAACAGCACACAAACAGACTCAAACCGGCAACAGACTAAACACCAGGAAACTAAAAGGACTAACCAGGCCTAAACTAGGTCTGAACAGGACTAAACAGGTTAAAACAGACTAAACCAGGTCTCGAACCAGGACTAAACCAGCTCTACAACCAGGACTAACCAGTCGACAGCGACTAACCAGGACCTAAACCAAGGTTGAACAGACCTCAAACCAGTCCAACCCGGCACTCAAACAGGTCTAAACCACGACTAAACCCAAGAGTCTAACAGGACTAAACCCAGGACTAAACCAGGACTCAAACCAGGGTCTGCAACCAGGACTAACCCAGGTCTGAACCAGACCTCAAAAACCAGGACTAACACCACGGTCTCGAACCAGACTAAACAGGACTACACCAAAAACCAGGTCTACTGAAACAAGGACAACCAGTCTGAACCAGGATCTAAACCTAAGACTAACCAGGACTGAACCAGGACTAAACCAGGACTAAAACCATGACTAAACAGGACTAACCACGACTAAACCAAGGACAAACCAGACTAAACCAGAACTGACCAGACCACAGTACATACACTCTGGGTGCTTTCTAAAGAGGAGGTTCCGTAAGTCGAGGTCTCGGTCTTTTGGTCTGGAGCAGGTCTAAAGTCGATGATTCATGGTCCAAATATGATGGGCCCACGCCCCCACAAACAGGAAAGTGCACTACCACAGGAACAGCAACTACTAAATACTATAAGAAGAGAAAAGACTCACTAGGAGGACACAGACTACTACTCGACTACTACTACTACTACTACTAACTACTTCACTACTACTACTACTACTATCTACTACTACTTACTTACTTTTACAACTACAACTACTACTACTACTAACTAAACTACTACTACTACTACTATACTTACTACTACTACTACTACTACTACTACTACTACTATACTACACTACTACTACTACTACTACTACTACTACTACTACACTACTACACTACTACTACTACTCATGACTACTACTACTACTACTACTACTACTATACTACAAACTAACTAACTACTACCTTACACTACTACACTACTACTAACTACTAATACTACTACTACATACTACTTACTACTACTACTACTACGCTACTACTAGCTAAACTAACTACACTACTACTACTACTACTACTACTACTACTACTACACTACTAACTACTACTACTACACTTACTACTACTACTACTACTACTACTACTACTACTACTAAACTACTACACTACAACTACTACTACTACACTACTACTACTACTACACACACTACTACTACTACTACTACTACTACTACTACTACTACTACACTACTACTACTACTACTACTACTACTACTACTACTACTACTACTACTACTACTACTACTACTAACTACTACTACTACTACTACTACTACTACTACTACTACTACTACTACTACTACTACTACTACTACTACTACTACTACTACTACTACTACTACTACTATACTACTACTTACTACTACTACTACTACTACTACTACTACTACTACTACTACTACTACTACTACTACTACTACTACTACTACTACTACTACTAACTACTACTACACTACTACTACTACTACTACTACTACAACTACTACTACTACTACTACTACTACTACTACTACTACTACTACTACTAACTACTACTACTACTACTACTACTACTACTACTACTACTACTACTACTACTACTACTACTACTACTACTACTACTACTACTACTAACTACTACTACTACTACTACTACTACTACTACTACTACTAACTACTACTACTACTACTACTACTACTACTACTACTACTACTACTACTACTACTACTACTACTACTACTACTACTACTACTACTACTAACTACTACTTACTACTACTACTACTACTACTACTACTACTACTACTACTACTACTACTACTACTACTACTACTACTACTACTACTACTACTACTACTACTACTACTACTACTACTACTACTACTACTACTACTACTACTACTACTACTACTACTACTACTACTACTACTACTACTACTACTACTACTACTACTACTACTACTACTACTACTACTACTACTACTACTACTACTACTACTACTACTACTACTACTACTACTACTACTACTACTACTACTACTACTACTACTACTACTACTACTACTACTACTACTACTACTACTACTACTACTACTACTACTACTACTACTACTACTACTACTACTACTACTACTACTACTACTACTACTACTACTACTACTACTACTACTACTACTACTACTACTACTACTACTACTACTACTACTACTACTACTACTACTACTACTACTACTACTACTACTACTACTACTACTACTACTACTACTACTACTACTACTACTACTACTACTACTACTACTACTAACTACTACTACTACTACTACTACTACTACTACTACTACTACTACTACTACTACTACTACTACTACTACTACTACTACTACTACTACTACTACTACTACTACTACTACTAGTACTACTACTACTACTACTACTACTACTACTACTACTACTAGTACTACTACTACTACTACTACTACTACTACTACTACTACTACAGTACTACTACTACTACTACTACTACTACTACTACTACAGTACTACTACTACTACTACTACAGTACTACTACTACTACTACTGCTCTTACTGTTATTACAAGTACTACTACTACAAGTACTAATAATACTACTACTACAAATACTACTACAAGTACTACTTCTACTACTAACCAGATCTCAGAGGTGTAAAAGTCAAAATGGCGTCTGTAAATATCAAAGTGTTTGAGTCTCTGGAAAACCTACGTCTGCGTTTGATGACATCATCACTGCAGCGTCACCACGGCAACGGCCAACAACGCCATCACCATGGCGACCGGCAACAGCACATGACATCATCACCATGGCGACCGGCAACAGCACATGACATCATCACCACACATGAACCTTCACACACATATGGACATTCACACACACATGGACATTCACACATGAACCTTCACACACATGGACATTCACACATGAACCTTCACACACACATGGACATTCACACATGAACCTTCACACACACATGAACATTCACACATGAACATTCACACACACATGAACATTCAACATGAACCTTCACACACACATGAACATTCACACATGAACCTTCACACACACATGAACCTTCACACATGAACATTCTCACACACATGAACATTCACACATGAACACACACACATGAACATTCACACATGAACCTTCACACACACATGAACATTCACACATGAACCTTCACACACACATGAACATTCACACATGAACCTTCACACACACATGAACATTCACACATGAACATTCACACAGACAGTTGTTGTTCTTTTCTGCATCACTCGAGTTAAAACAGTTGTGGACCTGGACCTGGTGTGTGTGTGGACCTGGTATGTGTGTGGACCTGGTGTGTGTGTGACCTGGTGTGTGTGACCTGTGTGGTGTGTGTGACCTGGTGTGTGTGACCTGGTGTGTGTGTGTGGACCTGGTGTGTGTGTGTGTGACCTGGTGTGTGGACCTGGTGTGTGTGTGTGTGTGACCTGGTGTGTGACCTGGTGTGTGACCTGGTGTGTGTGTGTGGACCTGGTGTGTGTGTGTGACCTGGTGTTGGACCTGGTGTGTGTGTGACCTGGTGTGTGTGGGTGTGACCTGGTGTGTGTGTGTGACCTGGTGTGTGTGTGTGACCTGGTGTGTGACCTGGTGTGTGTGACCTGGTGTGTGTGTGTGTGTGACCTGGTGTGTGTGTGACCTGTGTGTGTGTGACCTGGTGTGTGTGTGTGTGTGTGTGTGACCTGGTGTGTGGACCTGGTGTGTGTGTGTTGTGACCTGGTGTGTGTGTGTGTGACCTGGTGTGTGTGTGGTGTGTGACCTGGTGTGTGGACCTGGTGTGTGTGACCTGGTGTGTGTGACCTGTGTGTGTGACCTGGTGTGTGGACCTGGTGTGTGTGACCTGGTGTGTGTGACCTGGTGTGTGACCTGGTGTGTGTGAACCTGGTGTGTGACCTGCCTGTGTGACCTGGTGTGTGTGTGACCTGGTGTGTGTGTGGTGTGTGTGACCTGGTGTGTGTGGTGTGTGACCTGGTGTGTGTGTGTGACCTGGTGTGTGTGACCTGGTGTGTGACCTGGTGTGTGTGTGTGACCTGACCTGGTGTGTGTGGTGTGTGTACCTGGTGTGTGTGACCTGGTGTGTGTGACCTGGTGTGTGACCTGGTGTGTGACCTGGTGTGTGACCTGGTGTGTGTGACCTGGTGTGTGTGACCTGGTGTGTGACCTGGTGTGTGTGACCTGGTGTGTGTGACCTGGTGTGTGTGACCTGGTGTGTGTGACCTGGTGTGTGACCTGGTGTGTGTGACCTGGTGTGTGTGGACCTGGTGTGTGTGGACCTGGTGTGTGTGACCTGGTGTGTGACCTGGTGTGTGTGACCTGACCTGGTGTGTGTGTGTGACCTGGTGTGTGTGACCTGTGTGTGACCTGGTGTGTGTGGTGTGACCTGGTGTGTGTGGTGTGTGACCTGGTGTGTGTGTGTGACCTGGTGTGTGTGTGTGGTGTGTGTGTGTGACCTGGTGTGTGTGTGTGTGTGACCTGGTGTGTGTGACCTGGTGTGTGTGTGTGACCTGGTGTGTGTGACCTGGTGTGTGTGTGTGACCTGGTGTGTGACCTGGTGTTGATGTGTTTGAGTTTCGATCAAACTGGACCAAAAAAACAAAGCCTCAGTTTTGTTCAGTGTTTGTTTCTGACTCAGACTCACAGGTGTAAAACACTGAAGCCACAGCCGCCCTGGGGCAGACTGATGGAAGTGTGGCTGCCAATCTGAGCCATAGGCCCATCGACCAACATCACACACACACACACACACACACCACACACACACACACACACACACACACACACACACACACACATTACTCTATGTGGCAATGTGGGTGAAGTGCTTTGCTTAAGGACACAACAACAGTTTTTATCTTTATGATTATTATGATTTTCCCTGCGTCTCCATCCAAGTCCAGACCCGGAACCAGACCCTGACCCGGACCAGACCCAGACCCGGACCAGACCCAGACCCAGACCCAGACCAGACCCAGACCAGACCCAAACCCAGACCCGGACCCAGACCTAGACCTAGATCCAGACCAGACCCAGACCCAGACCCAAACCCAGACCCGACCCAGACCCAGACCCAGACCCAGACCAGACCAGACCAGACCAGACCCAGACCCAAACCCAGACCCGGACCCAGACCCAGACCAGACCAGACCCAAACCCAGACCCGGACCCAGACCTAGACCTAGATCCAGACCAGACCCAGACCCAAACCCAGACCCGGACCCAGACCCAGACCAGACCCAGACCAGACCCAAACCCAGACCCAGACCTAGACCTAGATCCAGACCAGACCCAGACCCAAACCCAGACCCGGACCCAGACCCAGACCTAGACCTAGATCCAGACCCAAACCCAGACCCGGACCCAGACCCGGACCTAGACCTAGACCTGGACCTAGACCAGACCCAGACCCAGACCAGACCCAGACCCGGACCCAGACCCAGACCTAGATCCAGACCAGACCCAGACCAGACCAGACCAGACCAGACAAAGACCTAGACCCAGACCCAGACCCGGACCTTGACCAGACCCAGACCCAGACCCGGACCCAGACCAGACCCGGACCTAGACCAGACCTAGACCTAGACCAGACCCAGACCAGACCAGACCCAGACCAGACAAAGACCCAGACCCAGACCTGGACCTTGACCAGACCCAGACCCGGACCCAGACCCAGGACCCAGACCCAGACCCAGACCCGGACCTAGACCCAGAGCTTCTGACGGGATCAGACTTTGACAAACCGATGTGTCGAAAAAATCACCCTAAAAAAGCGTCAGTTCGTTGTTTCTTTGTTCAGTGGCTCATGAAGCTCAGAGGAGCAGGTGACGCCCACCGACCGAGAGGTGAACGGATCAAACCCCCGTGGACAGAGGAAACCATCAGTCCTGGGAAAGACCTGCTCTAGTCCTGATTCAGTCTCACTTCAGTCTCACTTCAGTCTCACTTCAGTCTCACTTCAGTCCTGGTCCTGGTCCTGGTCTGGTCCTGGTCTGGTCCGTCAGGTGTGCACAGGTGTGGTTGTACCTGGGTCGTTGGCGTCCGTCTCCGCGGCGACGAGCTCGCTGCACTCGGACAGAGAATGTTCCAGACAGAGCTGCAGGAAACGCGCCTGCGTCCGACTCACGCGCTTCAGCAGCGACAACAGCGCCACCGTCTGCTCGCACTCGTTCCACCCTTTAAACCAACCGGCCAGAACGGACACCTGGTCCCGGAACATCATGGTCCGAACACCAGGGAGCGCCGGAGAACACCGGGGAACGCCGGAGAACACCGGGGAACGCCGGAGAACACCGGGGAACGCCGGAGAACACCGGGGAACGCCGGAGAACAGAGGAGAACGTCTGAAGATGGCCGACAAAAACCGATCAACGGATTTTCCCAAAGTCCAGACGACACGTTCCAAAAAATCTCCTGAAGAAGTTTGAGAATTTCCCAAAACTCCCAACAGAATCCACAAGCGTCTGAATAAATCTGTTACAAAAATCTAAAAGTTACAAAAATAAATGCGTATAAAGAATTTCCCGGTAAAGTCAAAGCAGATTCCAGACGCACAACTCCACAAGAGTCAAACGCAAAAACAGACGCACAAACTCAAAAATACTCCAGCGTTTCCGAGTTTAAAGGACAAAAATTACACTTTTCAAACCCTGTAAAAAGACGAGGTTCTGAAACTGGAACAAAATGAAAAATATCTAAAAATATAATGTAAATAACAGAAAAATACGTCACAATTTGCACAAAAATTAAAAAAAAAAGTTAAAGTGCAGAAAAATATTATAAAAATATGACAAAACCGTGTTGAAAAATGTGTAGGCGGAGTTTGGGTTGCTAGGCAGCGGTTGCTAGGCGGTTGCTAGGCGGCGGTTGTTTCTGAGGCTGGTTCTGGTTTGTCGGAGCAGAGGATTGTGGGTTTGCATGATGCTCCTGGTTCGAATCTTCCTCCTGAAAAACAAAAAGACCCGGTTCAGACCCAATTTAGTCCTGGTTAAGTTGCAGTTTAGTCT